AAAAAAATCCCTCGTGCCAAATTATTTCGTATCAATGAATTGATTCACGCGTTTAAATTATTCAACCAATTTCTCGCATTGATCGTAAAAAAAAAAAGAAATAAAACTTTTCGAATCTTAATTTTAAATTTTCGAAAAAAAAAAAAAAAAATTCGTTTTTTTGTTGTTGTTGTTGTTGCTGTCGTCGTCGTGAAAATTATTTGACAATTTTGTTAGTTTTCGCATTAAACTATTTAAAAAATAGAGAGAAAATTGATTGAAATGATGGAGGAAAAAGGAAAAAGGGGGAAAAATAATAATAATAATAATAATTTTTTCAACCTCTTTTTATCTCCACCTGTTTTTATATCCTATTAGTTTAACCTCATCCTTTTTTTTCATCTTTTATTTTCCTCAATAATTTTTTTTTCTCTCTTTTTTCTCTTTTCATTTATAATTAACGACTTAAATTAATTTGATTTTTATTTTATTTTAATGAAAATGAATGATCGTTTTTAACTCTTAATAAAAAATTCATAAAAATTTATTATTATTATTTATATAAAAAAAAAAAAAAAATCGTTTGGAAAAATGGGTGGAAAATTAAAAATCAAGAAAATGAATAAAGAATAAATAAATTTTTTTTTTCTGTCCCGCGATTTTTCATTACAATAAAAAAAAATTCCAACAATTCTAAAAAGAAAATATCGAATTTTCTCTCAGGGAAATGTTTATTTTTATTTGGCATTCAACCAACATTTGAAGACCATTATACATAAAAAAAAGTTTTCCCAAGATTCTAGAATATTCTAAAAAAAAAAATATCAAAGATATTTAAATAACATAAACATCAATTGATAACCATCAATTTTTATTTCATTCACGTGTGATTTGAAACCCAATAATATATGTAAATTATTATTATTATTAATTTATGTTTTTACACGTCGCCATTTTAAAAAAGGTTTTGTAAAAAAGGTAGAAAAAAAAAACCAAAACAACAAACAAAGGAATTTAATTTTTAAGTTAAAATAAATAAAAAATTATTACTAATAGGTAATTTAATATACGTTGACAACGGGATTAAAAAAAAAAAAAAAAAAAAAAAAAAAACTTTTTTTTTTTTTAAGGAATTTGAGACTTAAAAATTCCCGAGGGATTTTTACTTTTTTTACTTTTAAAGAGGGTGTGGCCTTGAGTAATATTAATTTGAATATATTTTTTTTTTTTTATAATATACGTAATATTATAATTTTTAATAATAATTAAAAATAAATCATATTAGAAAATAAAAGGGAAGAAAAAGAATTCAAATTGAGTATTAAAAAAATTTTCTTTTTCCTAGCCTTAAGTTATTTTATTTATTTCGTTTTGTTTTTGTTTTTGGGGAGGTGGGAGGGGAGAAGGGAGGGGAGCTAAAAAACAAAACAAAATTTATTATTTAAATTTTTTCTCTGTTTTTTTGTTAAATAAAAATTTTAAAATAAAAACAGAAAAATGTCGATAATAATTGTTTTGAAAAAAAAAAAAAAAAAGTTTTTTTTATAATACATAGAAAAAAATATTATTATCATTGATTTTTAATATAAATAAATAAAATTTTATAATTAAATTAATAAATAAATAAAAAAAAAAAGAAAATTATAGAAAATTTGGCGTCGTCGTCGTCGGTTAAAAACCCCCCGAAAAAAAAAAATTTTAAAATGAGTTTCAAAAACTTTATTTCGTAAAATTAATTTTGATGTAAACCTCCCCCTCCCTCTCTCAAAACCACTACCATCACGATAATATAAAAATTTTATAATTTTCTTTGAAAATATTGAAAAGACTAATTTATTATTATTATTAATTTAATGGCCATAATATTCAATCGAAAGTTTCTTTTTTGGTAATGTTTTCCATCATCTCCATTTTGTTATATTTAACACATTTTTCAATTAATAAATTTTTTTCTTTTAAAAAAAATATAAAAAAAGTAAAACAAATAATTTTATTTCTTACAAAAACGTGGGGAAAAAAAATGTAAGTAAGAAAATTTTTTTTTTTTTTTAAAGAAAATTTTTTCAAAATAAAATAAAAAATCAGGAATTGGAAAATCATAATTACATAAAGTCTTAAAACGATGGTTGCTGTGGTGTCAAAATTAAGTTACGATTGTTCATTTCCTGGAAAAGGAATAAATAAAAAAAGAAAACTTTTGGAAAAGCTTCTTTTTCTTGGAAATTTTCAAAAAAAAAAAAAAAATTTTTTTTAACTTCCCCTTACGATAAAAAAAAAGGCGTTTAAATTTTTCTATTTTTTTTTTTTTCGTCGTCAATAAAATAAAAAATTTTCTTTTAAACGTAATAATAAAACGTTTTTCTATGAAATATTATTATTATTATTATTAATTATTATTCGGGAATTGAATTTTTAAAAAAAAAAAAATGTGTGGCAAAATTCGGGATAGGGCAACAAGAAAAATAAATTTCTTTTTTACAAAAAAAACTAAATATTATTATTATTATTATCACGGGATAAATAATAACCGAGACAAACTAAAAATTCATTGAGTAGGTTAAAAAAAAAAAAGGCAAATTTTATTATTATTATTATTGCCAAAAAAATTTACATTTTTTTTTTATCCGTTGTAAAAAAAAAAAAAATAAAGTTACGATATATAGAATTTTTATTTTTTTTAAAATGGTTCCAAAAAAGTTTTTACTAACATTTTTTTTTTTATTATTAGCTATTATTATTATTATTTTTTTTAAAAAATAAAAATAAAGTTATAAGGCTCCTCGGTAATTTATTAGTCTTATTTTATTATTTTTTTGTTTCTCGTTTCAGCTGTTGGAAAAATCTTGAATATAATTTTCAACATGAAAAACATACATTTTCTTCCTTATATACACTCACATATTTATTTAATATAATAAAAAAATAAAAAAATAAAAAAAATGAAACGTGGAGAAACATTAAATCACGGAAATGGTACCGGTTGTAGTATAGCAACAATAAGTTCACCGGATATACATTTTCCACATTCGTTTAGAGATAAATACGAATCACCGCCGTGTTCGAATCGTATAAACATAACCGTTTCCGCTTTATGGGTAGCCACGCCACTTTTATCAACTGTTTCCGTTGCAGCTGTTTGCGTGGCCGTTTGTACAAATCATTGGCTCGTAACTCAAGAAAATATTAAAAATGGTAATTATACGGGAAGAGGAGATCAAGAATATTTTCCTAAAAATACAATTTCGGGACTTTGGACTCTTTGTTATACCAATCGTAAGTTTATTTATTTATTTTTTGTTTAAATCCTCCCCAACCCTCTTCCCCCCTCCCGCCGCGTGATATTTTTTCATATAAAAATTTTTTTGGTAAAATAAAAATAATAATAATAAATAAATAAATAAATAAAAATTAAATCAAGAGTAAAAATGATCTAAGGTTTTTCTATATTTAAATTTTAAATGGGCGGAGGAGGAGGGGAAGGGAAGGGAAAGGGGTAAGGGGGAGGCGGCTGGTAAATTTATAAATTTGTTTTTTGAATTCGGCAATAATATTTTATTGCAAAAATTTTTGAAAAACGTATATATATATATATAAATTATTTTGAAAACAGTTTAGTGTGTTTCTGCATGAAAAATACTTTATTTGATTTTTTTTTTCGCTTTTCTTTGTATGGGTATGCATGCTTATACGGTTATCTATAGTTTCTGGAATTTTTCCAGTATATATAAAATAAAATAGAATTTTCTTTTTTTTTTTTTATCCTACTGCTTTTTTTTTTTTGATTTATATTAAGTCTTACTGTCGACATATGATTTCCACACTTTTACTTTTATTTTCCTCGCATGATTTTCTTTTTTAACGTAATTTTATTTGGAAAATATCCGTTACAAAAAAAAAATTATCATTGATTTGTCGTAAAATTCGATGCAACATAAAATTATTATTATTATTTTTTAAAAATGATCTCAAATCATGCGGAAAATTTTTTTTTTTTTATTATCAATTAAAATTTGCAAACTGATAATAAGGCAATTTATATTTTTCGATTATAAATCTACGTTTAAAAAAAAAAAAAAAAAAAATAAAATTTAATGAATCCTTTTGTCGATTAAGGGGGGAATAAAATTAGTAATCAAAATGTTTAAATGTAATTTTTCCTCGGTTTTTCTCCCCCCCCCCCCCAAAAAAAAAAGGAAACGATTCGAAAATATAAAATTGTCAACAGTTTTAAATAATTTCGAGGACTCAGGTCACGTTCGTTCCCAACTGTATCGTCCTCCCCGCACAAAAAAAAATTTTCTACTTGAAATGAATATTGATTGCTTCCCGAGGACAGTAAATATTTTTTTTTTTTTTTTTGTTTTATATATTTGATTTTTTTATTTTTTTTCCACCATATTATTTTATTTATTTATTTATTATTTTTTTTTTAAAAAGAAATCGATAAAAAAAAAATTTTTTTTTTTGTTAAGAGGTTTAAAT